GATTAATGGGTCCTTCTCTACCTGGAAGGAGGTAACAAGTGGGGTACCCCCAAGGCTTAGTCCTGGGCCCTGTGCTCTTCCATATTTTTATTAATGACTTAGATGAGGGACTGCAGGGAATGCTTATTAGATTTGCAGATGATACCAAATTGGATGGAATAGCCATGCAATACCCTAGAAGACAGAAACAAAATTCGAAATGACCTTGATAGAATGGAACACTGGGCCAAAGTTCCCAACTTTGGGTCCCCAGATGTTCTTTGACTACAACTCCCTGATGCCATCATCACTAGCTGTGCTGGCCAGGATTTCTGGGAGTTGTAGTCCAAGAACATCTGAGGATCCAATGTTGGGAAGCACTGCTCATGGGCATAACATTCCTTGTCTTCCAGCCAAAAAAGTAACCCTAGCACATATGTAAATACTGTATCTTGCTTCTATGTTTGTTTACCTCTTCTGTTCTTCAAGAAGAAAGAGGAAGGAAGTTAAAAGTGGTTATCGTTTTACATGATTTCTTTAGCTAAATGAATTTTTTTTCCATTCTTCCCATTGATTCCAGGCACTAAAAACCACCTGGCACTGCATTATTGCCACCCAATGGGGCATTTTAACCTCCTGGTTCTGCGACAGTGCTTTAAAAAGTATGGCATTTATTGGAGTGTGCATTCAAACTCTTGTCTACCAGATAGGAGGTAGTATAGCTCTTTACATTGACCAGGGGGTTGGACCTGGTTGTCTTAGGGGCCCCCTTTCCAATTCCATGATTCTAGGATTCTATACATGCTCAGGGGTGCTCTAATTGAAGCAAGAAGATGGCCTTTTTTCCCCTTTTGCAGCTGGGTTTCACTAACATCACAAAAACATCTAGTGCAAGCATCAAACAAACATGTTTCCATTAGAGGTGTATCTGCACATTGCAAATCCACCTGGTTGGTTGGTTGGTTGGTTGTTGGTTTGTTGGTTGGCTGGCTGGCTGGCTGGCTGGCTTGCTGTCTGGCTGGTTGGTTGGTTGGTTGGTTGGTTGGTTGGTTGGTTGGTTGGTTGGTGCTGTTGCTTGGGAGATAAGCCCAACCCTCATTTGCAGGTATTATTTGTGAGTCACGTGAGCTGGCTGTCGTCCTGTCTTTGGATCTTGGTGTCTAGCAATGCACTGCATGCTAATCTCCCCCCCCAAGCCTGCCCGATGGTATTTTGATGGGTATTTTGGCAAGCAACCGTGGGAGTCCAATCCAAAACAGTAATGTTTCTCAAATCTGGTATGGAAATGGGCCAGGCAGGGACAATTGTCAAGCATTTGCACAGTTTCCTTGGACAAAGCGAAGGGAAGAGGCACCTGGCATGTGGGGGGGAAAGCACACACTTCCCTACGCAAACTTGCTAACCAATGGTCTGGTTAATTCTGTGTTCACGCCTCTAACCTCTTCTGCCCTCTCTCCTTGAGCAAATGAACACTGAAGAGGTCCAAAACGGGATTGCCTTGTTACGTAAGGTACCTGCACTTTTCTGAGGAGGAGAATGGGGGTTACCATGGCAACCAGGAGTTGAGTGAAGGATGGGACATCGTGAGCAGAGAAGGGTAAACATGAGCCACTAATTATTAAAAGGAAATGTACTGATGGTTGATGCCCACACCACTGTTTGCATAATCATTGCCTCCAGGGAAATGCTCATGTATCCCCATCAGAAATTAGAAAAGGTATATTTTTCGACGGCCACCCTCATAATCCCCCAGTGAGCATGATCGGTGGCCACGCTGGCTGATATATTTTGGAACCTGAGGTCCAGAATAGTTCATTTCCCCACATATACCATTGTTGTGTACTCCACAAGGCTGGCCCTACCAGGAGGCCGGGTGAGAAGAGGCAGATGATGGTAGGAGAAGTGAGGACAACCTCCCTAATGTTCTTCCAGAAATTGAAATAAAATAGATTTTTTTAAAATTCTGGGTTTTATCTAGATACTCATGCATAGACTGACATGGCTCCTTCTTTGAAAGCTACAGCAAAATTGTCTTGAAGCATAACTAACATCCCTCTTTCCTACTATCCTGAATGGAGTAACTTTTTGAAATACAACTTTAAGAACCCTCCAAGAGAGTGGGTGAAGGAGGTTCAAAAAGACACTCCTCTGAGGTCTATCACTGAGCAAACCACACAAATAAGACCCACACAAATAGTTATGAAAGCTAGAGGAACTCCACCTGGTTTTCCGTGCGGCTTCTCAAGAGCATGGCCACGTTGGCTGGGGATTCTGGGATTTGTGGTCCAGAAAGTAACCTCTCTCGACTCTGGGGGACCCTAATTTGGAGGCCATGCTTTAGAACAGAGGATGCTGATGGGCGAGACTTTGGACTATAAGTCCCATCTGTTTCAGCCAAGGGAGAGGAATGCTAGGATTTGTAGTACCACAACATCAGGTCAGCCTCACCGTGCCCATCCCTGCGTTTAGGCTTCTGATTCAGCACTTTAAACAGGGCAAGCAAAATGGCCCAAGGGGACCAGTGAGAAATGGAGAGATCACAACCCCCTCGGATGCACAGATGGTCAGCCAATGCGGCCTCCCTTTGGAGGCTCTGCCTGTCCCCATGCAACGAGGCAGCGGGAAGGGACATTCTGTTCCCGGCGACACCTCATTAGGCGAGGCTGCTTGAATGGGCACCTGGGAACAGTCAACAGTGCTCCAGAACAGATGGGACATCCAAGGTGACGAGAGGAGTAGCCTTATAGGAATCATAAGGGCGATACGTGCATTTGCCCGGGGGGGGGAGCGCATTTCAGTGGGGACCCTGGTAGAGAAGAAATGGGAGAGAAAAGGGAAAGAATTTAAGGTTCTGAAGCACATTCCGTAGAAAATACGACAAAAGTCTCTCCTTTCTTATGGGAGTGCCCTTATGCCCATCGGGTTGCGCCTGGAGACTGGGAACTTGCATTTCCATTCGAGCCCAGAATGTTGCACTCCGGAAGTAGCTTCTAAGGTTCAAAAGCTCGCCCTGAAAGAAGTCTGTTAATCTCGAAGGCACCACAATAGTTGGGTTGTTGTTTGTGCTTCTTAGAGTAGCTTTCTGTTGTCGTCGTCGTTCTGTGCTGCCCGGTCGCCTCGGACTTATGGTGGCCCTTGGGAGGGAGCGATGGCCAAAAGGTCCGGTCCTCAGCTGCCCTGCTCAGCTCTTGCAATCTCAAGTGTGGTTCCTTAAGGGGGTCCGGCCATCTTGTATCGGGTCGTCCTCTTTCCCTGCCGCCTTCCACCTTTCCCAGCATGATGGTCTTTCCCAGAGAATTCTGAGAGATAAATAAATTAAATAAAGTAGATCAGTGGGAAAGATGCACAAGTAAAAGCCTTTAGAATAGGACAGCGCGAGGGTTTACCAAACCATTACACACACAGAGAGAAACATTCATTCATTTACTAACTTATTTGCTGTATCTAATACATTGCGAAGGATTTCTACTCCTGTATTTTCTAATAAAACTGGCTGTACTGACTGTACTAGTAAGTACTAATTGTAAAGCACATTGTAAACTGCCCAAAGGGACGTGGTGGCGCTGCGGGCTAAACCGCAGAAGCCTGTGCTGCAGGGTCAGAAGACCAAGCAGTCATAAGATCGAATCCACGTGACGGAGTGAGCGCCCGTCGCTTGTCCCAGCTCCCGCCAACCTAGCGGTTCAAAAGCATGCAAATGCAAGTAGATAAACAGGGACCACCTCGGTGGGAAGGTAACAGCGTTCTGTGTCTAAGTCGCACTGGCCACGTGACCACGGAAGATTGTCTTCGGACAAAACGTCAGCTCTATGGCTTGGAAACGGGGATGAGCACCGCCCCCTAGAGCCGAACACAACTGGACAAAAATTGTCAAGGGGAACCTTTACCTTTACCTTTACCTAAACTGCCCAGAGTGGCCCTCAGCCATATACGCAGTATAAAAATTAAAGGAAGGAAGGAAGGAAGGAAAAAAGGAAGGAAGGAAGGACCTAATGAGGAAGGAAGGAAGGAAGGAGAGAGAGAGAGAGAGAGAGAGAAAAGAGTTGGCATTCTCGCTAGCTGCTTAGTGCAAAAATCTGTGTTGACCTGTGAAGATCTGAATCCACTACTTGTTGCTTCAACCTGAAAAGAAAGGAAGGAAGGAAGGAAGGAAGGAAGGAAAAGGGAGGGAGGGAGCTAACTTACTAACTTACTTTAACTAGAGATAGAAAGTGGTGAATCAAAGTAACACTATTATTTCAAATGAGTTTCTCTTTTTTGTAATGAAGCTCTAACAGGATGGCAGTTCAAAAGTAATGATCTCTTGACAGAATGAGTTATGTTCTCTAATTCAGATTCAAAGGTTTCAAAGACAGCATTTAGATATTTTTCAAGGCATTTAAATAGGAATGTTATGCCTTTCTCCTTTATGCAATCCGTGGTGTATGAAGGGTGAATGAACACCATAGCGTGTTGCTTGCAGTAGATGTGTCCGGAAGAGGGCTAAGAGGTATGGTTAAACACACAGATGGTTAGAGGCCATGCCTTAAGGACAGCTTTATCTCTACTAGCGTTCTGATCTCTGGCTTTAACAATGGTATAAAATTAAAAGCTGTTTCAGGGTTTTAATTCCAGGGTAGGCATTGTGACAGTCATTGCACTTCATAAATAATTGTTTTAAGTTCTCAACCTTGGACCTCCAGATGTTCTTGGACTACAGCTCCCAGAAGCCTTCACCACTAACTGTGCAAACCAGGATTTATGGGAGTTGTAGTCCAAGAACATCTGGGGACCCAAGGCTGGGAGACACTGTTCTAAGATCTTCCAAGTGTGCAGACAGACAGATTGTTCCAAGGACCCCCTTTTCCCCCCTAATTTGCTTGGGTTAAAAAAAGCAATAAAATATATATTTTAAAAAACAGCTATTGCATGAATGCCATGATTTCCCCATCATTCCTCACAAAAGAGGCAGGTTAAGAGGTTTTATTTCCCTGCCCGGGGATGTGAATTTTAAGGACACTCAATGACTTTGGTCTTTACAGCTAGTGAAGACGGCGGATTTGGATCCTACCCAGAACTACCTCTTTGGCTTTCATCCCCATGGGGTCCTGGTGGCCGGGGCCTTCATCAATTTCTGCACTGAAGCCACAGAGTTCTCCAAGATTTTCCCTGGGCTCAGCCCTCATCTGATGATGCTGGGTCTCTTTTTCAGAGCCCCGTTCTTCCGCGACTACATCATGAGTGGAGGTAAGCAGATCTAGAAGGACCGGGAAGGTTTCATAGAACAAGGGCTGTCTGGAGGGGCAGGAAGAAGAGGATGATGATGGGGAGGAGGAGACATCATTTAAAGTCCCACATGATAAAAAGAACTTGGAAGTGAGAGATACCAGCAAGATCCCAACAAGACTGAGGTCCCATCAACCATGGCATTTATATGGTATATGGAACCTTGATGGCATAATTTGAATTGGAAAAGAGGTGGGGCAGGATCTATTCATGATCCTTCCAGAGCGCAGAACACGTCATCTTGGGCTCAGGCTACAGGAAGCCACCTCTTCTCATCCAAAATTATAACATAAAATATATAAAAGCCGGACATTTTAAAGGTTTTTATCTTTGCCAGCTGGACGGAGGACATTAGGCTAAAAAAGAGGACATGTCCTCCTTTTGCTGGACGTCTGGCAACGCTACTCATTGTAATGCCTATGTAGCTGGGACATAGTAGCTTCCAGGAATCTCGGCTTTCAACTGCCACCATGAAAGAGAACGTGGGGGGAGAAGGAGGGAAAGGAAGCAGCAAGTGGGGAAGGAAGAAAACAGAATAGCACTAACAGGGGGAGAAAGGAGCAATGTAAAGAAAATAATAATTTCACTTCCTCTGACCCTCCGCAGATGATCAGGGGAAGTGATTAACTGACAAGAGGCTGTTTGCGGTTTGGATCGGAAGAGTGGGCTAAATGAAACATCACTCCTCACCCCCCTCCCCACTGACCTCAACAGACCTTTGTAGTCCAATGCACCCCTCACCCAAAACAGCCGGTCCGAACAGGGCCTCGGGCTGTGCAATTATCACATCAGATGGAGCACAAATTGCTCAAGGCTTGTTTGTTTTCGAAAGCAAACTGCAAATGTGCTTGGTATGAAAATCTTTGAGGCTAGCTGGTGAAAACTTGGCCACTTTATTCCGGTTTAGGGCTTCCTATATGTCTGTGATTCACAGACGTCAGTGCAAAACCAAAACAAGTTACAGCTCTTTAGATTTTCCAGTATTGGAGTGTGGCTCCATGGTCAAATACCACAAGAACTGTTCCACTTGTAAAATGGATGAATTCAAATAATTTTTTTTCTCGGCCCAATGACACAAAACCTGAATTGAATCGGTCCTGCCCTTTTTGCTCTCAAATTAGTTTTTTTAAAAAAATAAGGGATGTGGTGGTGCTGTGGGTTAAACTGCAGAAGCCTCTATGGTGCAAGGTCGGAAGACCAGTTGTCGTACGAGCACAGAACAGCTGTTCGGCCGCTAAACGAACCAGCATGAACTTCTGAGCCAGAAGTTCGTACAGACCTCTACTCTTAGATCAAGGCGTCTGTGCTCATGTTTCCTACATTTCTTACCCAGGGTTGGTTACCTCCGACAAGGAATCTGCTTACTACATTCTGAGGAAGCCAGGAGGTGGGAATATCCTCACCATCGCAGTAGGAGGAGCGCAGGAAGCTTTGGACGCCCGGCCGGGAGCGTATAAGCTGCTGCTGGCAAACCGGAAAGGGTTTGTCCGGCTGGCCCTGCAGCATGGGTGAGTCGTAGGGAAGGCAGCCAGTTCCCCCCTCTCCCCAAAAAGGATGACAGGAATTTCTATTGATTTGCGTAGGCTTGCGTAGCCTAGTTTTATAGGGACAGAGGCAAAATCAAGAGACGATTTTAAGGATCTAAATGGGATTGCTGTGCATCTTAATTGAATCGGGAAGATGGTCGCTGGGGGACCTCTCGCTTGCCCTTGAATCTGCTCGGGGTATGTGGGTGGGAGTCTTCAGCTGGACCAGACATCTCTTTGAATGAGAGAACAGTTTGCAAAAGAAGGTAGATTGTGGTGATTAAAGAGCTCCCGTTTTGATCCGGTGTACCTGACTCATTATTTGCCCAGCCACCATTTGCACATAATCAGTTTCTTCATAGGCTTTCCTTCTAACACATGTGTGATGGAAGTCGTGCGATGGGCTCTGCTTAAGGCTACAGATAGCCAGGCTGTTGTGTTGTTGGTTTTGTTCCTGGACCCAAATCTGTCATTGTCCAGACGCCGTAACAGAGCTGCTGCAGAAATTATAGTGACGCAACCTCTTCCTTCTTCCTTTCCCTGGCCTCCAGCATCCGACTGGTCCCTGTTTTTTCCTTTGGAGAGAACGAGCTGTTTGATCAAGTGGAGAACCCCAAGGGATCCTGGCTGAGGTGTATCCAAGATTTCTTGCAGAAGTACATGGGTATTTCGCTCCCTCTCTTCCACGCCCGAGGGATCTTCCAGTACAGTTTTGGCCTGCTTCCTTACCGGCGGCCAATCTGTACCGTGGGTGAGTCTGCTCTTAGTCACTGGGCTCCAGAGGTGGGGAGGATTGTCACCGGGCCGCGGTCGGTGAGGTTTTCTAAAACAAAACAGGCACAAAGAAGGTTGTGAGAAAATGCCGAAGGATCGCCAAAGGCTCCAGAGCCAACACCAGGATGGCCAGGATGGTTCTGAGGCTTCACGCTTTGTGCAACGGTAGCTTCCCACAGGTTTGTTTGTTCTAAGTTCCCGCAAGGTTATCACTGCATCCCAGTATCTTATTCTCCCTCGGGTTGTTGCATAGCTTCGGACAGCCCCAGATGTTTCAGTAAATGGGTATATAAGAGTTGATAGCCATGACCTTTCTGAGAACAAGCAAGGAAAAGCAGTATTTTTCAAGATCTCGGTTATGGGAGGCAAGTAGGCTGAGCAGCCACTTCTGACCGGTGATAAAGAGTGTGAGTAAAATACGCTGAGATATACGAGAAGGATACTGTCTATTAATTTAAATACCACCGACCATCCCAACCGATCAGGGCTCCTGTTTGTGTCTTGAAAGACCACCCGACCTTCCCAAACAATCAGTGTTCCTCTTTCTGTGTTGAATAGAGTGGGCAAATAGTCCAGATAGGCAGGGTATAAATAAATAAATAAATAATTGAATGAATGAATGAATGAATGAATGAATGAATGAATGAATAAATAAATAAATAAATAAATAAATAAATAAATAAATAAATAAATAAATAAATAAATAAATAAATAAATAAATATTAGGAGTGTGACCATTGTTTTTCTGTGAAATTTCCAATTCCCAGATTTCTCCAAGAATTCCCTGGGCAGAATTCTAGGAGCTGATGCCTACATTTGACTCACCTGGAACTTGGCCTATCTCCCGGGATGTCTCAGGCCTACTTCCTGTACAAAAAGGAAGCTGCCCCAGTGCTTCCTGGGAGGACTGTGTCTTTGTGGGAGGTGTCGTTTTCTAACCGTTAGGCTCCATAGTGGACAGTTCCAAAGAACTGCACCTCCCATGCAGACCTAGGCCTCCCAGGAAGCGCCAGGACCGTTTTTTTTTTTCTATAGTGGAAGAAGGCCTGTGGTGAAATATAGGTGTGCGCCAGTATCTTGAAAATGTGTGCATCTGAGCTGGAACTCCCAGAATTCTGCCTGGAAAATGTTTGGATAATTCGGGGAGTTGAAGTCTAAAAAATTGGGGATGGTACATCTTACTGTTTATATATAGTAGGACTCCTGTATTCACGAGGGATCAGTTCCAAGCATTATCCATCCATCCATCCATCCATCCATCCATCCATCCATCCATCCATCCATCCATCCATCCATCCATGCATCCATCCAT